GTGGGGGGAGGTGCCTTCCGTCACCATGCTTGCTAAATAATGCAAATGGTTTGGCTACATTGGAGACAGAGGAAATCACTTAAGGCTTTTCCATGGGACACATGCATCTTTGTTGTGAATCAGAATAGAAAGCTTCCTAGAGATAAGAAAAGGCTAAACAATCTAATGAGTGGAATATATTTTAGTGTTCATTTAGCTTAACAATGATTTCCTAATATACGAAGTCATCAGGAGTCATGGCAATCAGGACTCATTTAAAAGTAATGCAGGTTACCATGTTTCTGGCCTCCACTTGCTGCTCACAATGTAATTGGAGGCTGGAGCCAGTGTTGCAGTTGTAGACAGAGTCTAGTGTCTGCCACAGAAATACTAAAGTTCTTGGGTGGGGGTGGGGAGAGGCATAAGCAGACGAAGTGCAGGCCTTCTTAAAACTAAACACCTGAAAGAAAATTTCAAGAGCATTGTGCCTTGAAAGTTCTGAAAGAAAGTGTCCTTTGAGTATTAAATATCCATAATCCTTTTTCTTTCCATTTGATGTTTCCCTTTCCAGTGCCCTATCTGAGAGTCTCATCCATATGATCTGCATAAACAGACTGTTACCATACACCTCACTTTACTTCATCAAAGCTTCAGCTAGATGTCTGGAATGAAGCACTGACTGTGGTAGCCATCAAGCATACGGTGGTGAAAGTTATAAAACGTCCGCCGTGGTACTAGCAGGGCTCCCCATGTTTTAGAGATCAGTCTATTGTGTACTTTGGAATTACATGAGAAAAATGTGCTTGGACAGGAAATAATTAGCACTTGTCAAAGGGCAGGCAATAGGTTACAGTATTTTACTTTCAACAGGCTATCAGGGGATCAGCTAGATTAGATAATAGAATTTTTTTCCTCTGGAAGTTAAATACAGATGACTCTAATTACCTTACATTGTGCATTAGAGAGCACATTATGAACAGTACAACTTCAAGAAATTTAGGTCAATGAAGGGAGGGCAGCTGGCAAAAACTTTGCTCTGCACTTGGTCTTTGTAGAGTTATGTAGCCGTTCTGTTCTTTCATGGGTTTTATTTGTGTCATTGACACCTTAAATAAAAAAAATACATGCTGGGAACTGTTAGTACAAACCAATTCAACTTTTAGAAATTTGGCCTTTCTCAGAGAAAGGCTTATGAACTGTTTTGCTATGTATCTACTTGATTAAAGCATGTGCTTGCATTATTTGCTTTAAGTTGTACCAGTGTTTCTGCATATTAACAAACTGAAATTACTCTAAGTTTATTTCATCTCCACAGTCCAAAATGCATGGTAGTGCGCTTAGTGTTATGGCACACCATTTCACATACTTCTGACTCAAAGATGTCATCAGTATCTTAAGTATCTGAGCAGGTCTTCTAGGGATTCAAGTTGTTCTTTGTCAAGTGGTAGTGATCCAAAATACTTCAGGTAGGATTCAGTGAATGTCCTCTAAGTGTTAACAGAAATGGTCCAGAGTTTCTAAAGCCCCAGATTTGTTTATACTGCATGATAGTGCCTGATGGACAGGTTGTTATAGCTGTTAAAGAGCTGCTCTAGCCCTTTGAACTGACCCCTTCTTGACCTCTACTTATAGAAGGTCACTGTTCAGCTTATAAAGTAAGGGGAACCTTAGGTTCTACTGTAACAAATAGAGGGTAAAGGGAACAGCTGTGAATTTTGGACTAACCATGCAAACCTGTACAGACTTTTTAGGGTCACTGTATGATAATGAAAATTGTTGCCAAATTATATGGAAATTTAACAGCAATAGTGGGAAAGAGAGGGTGGAGTCTAATGCATTGGGTTTGATAAATGAAGTGTGAAGTTACCCATCTGGCTCTAGACAGCCCTCTTTTTCTCTACGAAAGGGAAACATTTAAAAATAACCATGGTACATCTAGAATCAATGACCCATACAGAGAGCTGGAATAGATCAAGATTTAATGGTGGCTGTGGAAGAAATTATCATTTGAAAAGTGAGACAAAGGATGAAAAAGTACAGTTCAATATCTGCACCTGATTCATTTTCAGAAAAGGCTTTAATATTTTTACCCTGTTGATGATGCTATTGACATCTTTTATTTTACTTTTTAACTGGAACTGGGAAAGTTGTTATATCATAAAGAAACGGTTTGGCTGGGGAAAAACAAACAAACAAAAAAAAAAACCCAGCTTGAATTTCAAGAGAGAATGTTGCAATTTTCCTGATCAGTAAATGCCCAAGAGAACTGGACTATAGTTCAATAAAAATGGCATCTCTTATTTCTCCTAATAGAACTTGTATCATCTTATAATAATATTGGTTTTAATGCTTGCATGACATGCTGCACTTAATTGCTAGTAGGTTTTTTGCTAAATTTTTCATTCACTACCAGACTAATTTGTCATCAATAAATCCACAATAGATTAATTTAAAGGATAATGTTAACTGCATTGAAATTATTAACTGCTAGGAAAAAACATGGTTAGTTAAACCGTTACTAAAATAAGTCTTTTTCATGCAAAAATTTTATTAGTCCAAAATAGTTTTATTATGACACAGACTCTGATGTCCATTTTGCTATTTCCCTGAGTGAAATTGCACAATTTCTCTTAGGGGAAATTCAGCCACATAATGGAAAATGTAAAGTTTTGGAGAAACATAATGAATTTCAAGATTGATAGAAAAAATTATTTGATGGTTGTATTTTCATATTTGTGCTACTTAGCCAAATTCTGAAATCTTAAGTTCTCTCTAAGTCATCATGTAGTGACAAATAGACATAGTGAAAACAGAATAAATATTCGATAAATAATTTGGACCAACATAAACATAAAATTCCTCTGGTTCATGAGATAAACAGCAGAAAAGTGTTAATTCATTATATCTTGTAAGAATCAACAGCTTAAAATCTTGCCTCATTGAAATAACACAGTGAAAAGAAAAAATCTACTTTATGTGGTCATTCTATAACCTGTAACATTTTGTAGATCAGATCATTGTGTATTTTTAGAGTTGTTATATTCTTCCATCTTTGCACAGCACTTCAAGAAAGAACCTCTTACTCACAGCAAATTGTATAAGTTTCAGGTTTCAAGCCAAACTTGAGCTATAATTTCTTAGCATTTTTTGCCTTTGTCAAACTCCTCCTTAGATCTCACAGTTTTGACATAACAGTGTAAAGGTATGTATTTTTTTCTAGCTACAGTGAATGCTTATCATACTACTGAGATAGTCTTACCTCTCAGCAGTAAAATCTGGATTATTATGTGGATATTTATATAGGAATTTAAATTATAAGTACCTAGTGTGACAATTGAGTCCTAATCTGTGATAACGCTGTTTGGTTCTATAATAAGAACAATGAAGAATATGAGAGTGGAATCCTAAAATAGTGTGCACGTTAAATGAGATACAAACAGGAAGATTTTTATATATTTTGTTTTCTGCTTTGAAGAAGCTGTTAAATTTTTTCTTATGCCTTACATCTCTATACCTTGGAATTTTAGATCATATCTAAGAAGGTAATTGAGGTAGATTTTACTCTTTTTAGCTCCAGTAGGAGAAAGTGGTGTTGACATAAAGAAGGAACATATTTCCCTCTGTAACAGAAGAAAAGTCCATGGGTTAAGAAGTTAGCATGGGCTTTGGGAAAA